AAAAAAAAATCGAATTTCTGAAAACTAAAATAACTTGTCGGTCGAGTCTATATAGATCAAATGATTTATTCCACAACTGACTGAAAAGAAATGAACCATAAATTGAGGATAACTCCTACTTTTCTTCATGCCAAACTCTATCTAGAAAAAATGACATCTCGAACATTTACCCGAACATGCGGGACATGATTTATGACTATTAATCAATGTATGGGTCGAAGTCAATTGATAAGTGTTTTTTTTCCGGGAAAGCTACATTCTAGCAGTCCAAACAGTTTGCCTTTCATAGGAAAGAACTATCAAATTTAAACCGAATTGTCTAATCGTAACTAAAGTCTTTCTTCGTTGTTACGTAACATTTAATCATTTGTCAATTATTTTATGTAAACGATAAATCTATCTTATTTGTGAAATGAAGAAGAAAAAAACCACGCTATATAGATTGCGAGACTTAATTCTAAATCGCGTCGGACAACTATAAAAATGATCATATACCGATGTTACATTTTCTGGGATAGTGAATAGATTGTCTTACGGTGCTATATATAATTAAAAAGGGTCACATAACAATGCTATAAAATTTTCGAAAGTTCCGATTGTAGGAAAATCAGCAAAAAATAGGGAAAAAAAAAAAGAGTTAGGGAGAAGAAAAGTAAACTATGGCTGCTAGTTTTCGGAACTGATAGGGACCTAATATGAGAAGCTACGGGGTTGAAGNTTACGGGGTTGAAGACGTGGTTCACCCAAACTTTGTTCTTGACTTTTTCTTTTTTTTTGCAGTCCATGTGTGTTTAATTTATGGTGATCTTCAACATTAGACAAGAGATATTGACAGCAATGGACGGTCTAGATTTATGCCCGTTTCGTTAAATTCCCAAATCGCACTTGGACTGTTAGGCTAAGAAGTCAAGTCTCAATGTATGTGGAAACGGCCAAGGGTTCATTTTCATTGGCCCCTCTATGGAGCCTCAGATTTTTTTTTCTGTTTATATTTGGCATTATAAGTATTGGGTCACAGTAGTAATTCTTTTTTTTTTCTGCTTTTGTTATTATCTGAAAAAATGTCATTCGAATGATTTTCATATTGAAATGGCTNCTAAGAAGTCAAGTCTCAATGTATGTGGAAACGGCCAAGGGTTCATTTTCATTGGCCCCTCTATGGAGCCTGAGATTTTTTTTCTGTTTATATTTGGCATTATAAGTATTGGGTCACAGGAGTAATTCTTTTTTTTCTTTCGCTTTTTTTATTATCTGAAAAAATGTCATTCGAATGATTTTCATATTGAAATGGCTTAATCTCCCTTCTGATTTTTTTTTCCTCCCCACATGAGCTAGCTCTTTTATGTAAATAACATGTATGGAGGACGTAACAATCAAGGTAAAGACGGGACTTCTAGGACTCATTTAATTGATACGCTACAATACTTTGTGTGACATTTTTTATTTTTTTAGGAGATTTGATTGTCGATTATGGGCTAGCCTATTCCCATATAAAAGAAAGGGTCATACCCTTTAAATGACTGGGTATGAAATTCTTATAATTAGCAAGGGTTCCATTCAAGAGGNACAATACTTTGTGTGACATTTTTTATTTTTTTAGGAGATTTGATTGTCGATTATGGGCTAGCCTATTCACATATAAAAGAAAGGGTCATACCCTTTAAATGACTGGGTATGAAATTCTTATAATTAGCAAGGGTTCCATTCAAGAGGTGATATCATTGCCTGCTGTCAAAAAATTCAAAATGAATACATGAATAGATTGGCCTAACTAAAACTCCTCCTAATGGACACATTTCACTCCTTGACTCATGTCTTCTAGTGCATGAAGAAAAGTCCAACAAAACCTCTAATTTTCCTTTGAAAAACTTATGGTGGAAATGACCACGTAAAGGCCACATAAAGACCTCCACTCCTCTATATAAACTCCCCCAGCCCTTTGGCTCACATACACAAAACCATCATACTTGCAAATAACCAAACCTTCATCCACTTTATACCAACTACCACTATGAGCTTAACTAAAACAATGTATGTGTTTTTTTCCCTTCTCTTTACCCTGTACTTCACTTCCACCTTCACCAATGCAGCAACATTTGATATCACAAACCGATGTCCCTACACCGTCTGGGCAGCTGCCTCCCCCGGTGGAGGCAGGCGACTCGACCAAGGCCAGACCTGGAACATCAATGTGAACCCTGGCACGATCCAGGCTCGTATTTGGGGCCGAACCAATTGCAACTTTGATGCTAATGGCCAAGGCAAATGCGATACCGGTGACTGTGGTCGCCTTGAATGCCAAGGCTATGGCTCACCCCCAAACACCTTAGCTGAATTTGCCTTAAACCAACCTAACAACTTGGACTATGTCGTCTCAAAAATCTCATCTCTTAAATCTTTCAATTACATGTTTTCGAGTGTGAACCAATTTCAAAATTGTCCAAAATTCAAGTGATAGAAATCCAATTCACAAAAACAAAAAAAAAAAAAAAATTGTTCACAAAATTCTGAAACTATCAAAAAATTAAACATTGAACCAAGGCTGCAAATTCGAGAAAGTTAATGCCCACCCTCTACGTAACAACACACACACACACATATATAAAATATTACACAACTTAAATAGAATTCAAAAGTTAAAATTTAAATACATATCATCCCTTGAATGAGTGTTCGATGAGTAAGTTCCACTGAAAAAGTTAAAAAAAACTATTCATCTAAAGAATGATATGCAAAATTGTAACTTTTTGAATTTCATTTGAGTTTTATATCATTGCTTTCACTCTCTCTCTCTCTCTCTATATATACACAAACACACAACTATTATATTGAAACTTATTTATTTTAATACTTTATTTTTTTTAAATAAAAATGAAAATATGACACATGTAATTTTTATTATTTTATCATGTTTTCAATCAATGGAAAAAAAAATCATCCAAACTAATTTTAGCTACCACTTGAAGTTTTTGTTGTGGAATAGATCATGCCGGCCATCCCTGACCTGGAGACAAGTGAAAGCCAAGACTGAAAACTCTGTCAAAATTTCCAACAAAATTAACCATACAATTAAAGTCTTACACCCACCTCTATCTATGCTCGTACTATAAATACCCCACCCATTCCCTCACAAACACTACACAAGCACAAAACCTAAGTAGTCATAACCCATCTCCCTCTCAATCTCTAGAGTCCCAAATATGAGTTTCTTCAAGTCTCTCTCCATTTCCATTTTCCTTCTCATCTCTCTCATTTTCACCTCCACCCATGCAGCCACTTTTGATGTCCGAAACAACTGTCCCTACACAGTTTGGGCAGCAGCCGTGCCCGGTGGCGGCCAGAGGCTTGACAAAGGCCAAACATGGCAAATCAACGTCCCTGCCGGCACGAAACAAGCCCGTATCTGGCCTCGAACCAACTGCAACTTCGACGGGGCCGGTCGGGGCAGCTGTCAAACCGGTGACTGCAATGGCCTCCTACAATGCCAAGGTTTTGGTGTACCACCAAACACATTGGCTGAGTATGCCTTGAATCAATTCAATAACCTAGACTTCTT